TTTCCCATCGGAATAAACAGTATTTAAATGTTACAAAGAATTTATTTATCTATGTAGAGATAGTGTTCTATTAAAATTATAAGTAAGAGGTTGAAATGAGCAAAGTAGAAATAGAATAGCAATCACTATAGCATTAAACTGTGTGGAACCAGCCAACTCCCTCAACAGACTACCTAAATATACCTCTACCGAGAGACCACACAGACCGTGACAGGTTGGCATAGCTATCAATAATTGTTTGGAATAAATGCTTTTAAACAGATAACAACAAACATTTTTTTATTCTACAACAGTGCTTTATTTTGTTTAACAAAATTGTTGTCTTATAAGAAAACAAATGTTTAACATAGGCAAAACAAACTGAATTTGAGCTTCATTATATTTAATTTAAAAACAGAGATAAGAATTACAGAGGTAAGCATTTTTTTTCTAAAATAGCACACATGCCTTACTTAAAAGCTAACACTAAGGAACAGCTAAAAATAAACACTGCCATCAACAAAAACATCAAGTATTTACGTCACAGACGACATATATACATTCAATATTTCTACAAAACAACACGTCGTTGATACGTTACTGATGAAAAACTAAGAAAATCATGAGTGATACAATGCACTCTGTCTCGCCGAGATATATCTGCCAGTAAACTGATGCCTCCAACAGTTTTTGAGATAATTATGAGTTTAACAAAATCTAAGTATGAAAAAAAAAATAATAAAAAAATCAACAATAAAGGGGACTTTCTAAAATGTAGCTATGATAGCAATAGTATGTTTCTTTCTGCCTCGCCAGCTATATGAACATGCAAAGTTTGATTTCGATACCTTTCTTTTAAGTTTTAAAATTTACAATGGGCAAATACTGAAAATTATGAAAGCCAGAATTATGAATTCATGATTGTTCACACTTTTCTCTGTCTCACCATGACCTGTATATCGATTACAAGTTTTGTACAAGATTGGAGGTATGGACAGTATAAAATAAACGTGGTGGGACACGACATTGCGTGTTTCCAATAAAGCGTCCACAATAAGTGGCGGGGTTAAGTGCCTTTCCTTGTTGATCTTGTTTATCATATTTTAAAACTTGAAAATTATCGAGCGTCTGAAACAAGTGTGAAAAGGTAACGCTCGTATTCCAAAAATGTCTTAATATTTCCATAGACAATAACGAAGAAAACCAAACCACTAGTGTTTGGACATTTTGCATTTGCTAAACGGTATTGATTTCCACTCGGAACGAACGCTGTTTTGCCATGAAACCTCTTAGTCTTCTAAACTGGCTCCGAAAACTTGACAAATATGTATTGCTGATGCTCTTGCAACTGCTTTGTAGTTGAAACCATTCGACAGCACGTCCTAAATTCCTACAGGTAGCTTTACTAGAATTTAAACTGAAAACATTAAAAGTATGTGTTATCTCAATTGAAATGAAATACATATATATATACAAAATGAAATACAAAAAATCCCTTAATACATAACTGTATACAAAAGTTTATATACAAATAACATATACTTTGTACGTGGTATGTGACCTAAGTTATTGATACTGAAAAAGTGAATAAAGTTTAAATATTATATCATAACTGGTTTATGGGACCAAATATCATAAACCATCTGACAAAACATTTTAGCTTTAAAAATGGGCATAAGTATGTCAAATTGTGCGCCAATCATACGAAACTTGGTCATTGATCTTAGATGTCAACATTTAATATGTGTTCTAACTTTCAAAGGAATCGCTAAAATAGTGTTTGAGAAACCATTTTTCATGAAAATTCTAAACCATGAATTAAAAATCGAAAAATAGGTATAATTTGATAACAATGCAATTCAGAGATTTCTAACTTAGAGCGTGTTCTTAACAAGTGTGTGAAAGTTTAAGCTGTATGATTTATTGTTTTTGAAATACCATGTTTCATGAAACTTCTTAACCACAAATTTCTTTGTCAAAATAAGGCCTATAATTTGGTCTATATTAGATGGACGAAGAATGAACTACGGGTGAAAACCGATTGTAACTGCAGCAAACAACAATGCGAGACTGGTTTGGATTTAAAACTGGAACCCATATACGTTAACAAATATTTTTTTCTTCTTTGTTTAAGTACATTTGTGTCTTGCATTTATAAGTATTTCTTATACAAACTCTGTTACATATATCATAACATTTGTTCATACTGGTTAACAATACTTCTCGGCTAATTGTAACTTGTAACACTTTACACTATACAGAATATGATTTGACTATAAATTGTATGTTTACAATTTTATGTTAAATAAAATTTATATTATGTTATGTTATGTTATGTTATATAAAAATTAAAGCGTTTGATTCATACGCTGTATGTCAATTTGAGATTATATATCCCTGTTCCGGAAATCAAAATAAAAAATGGATACCCAATGCAATGCAATGCAAGCAAAGTATTTTCTTTTCTTAATCATTTTAAAAGTCGTATATAAGAATAATATTCTGTTCTCCAGGAAACTTAGGTAAATGAACTTACCTCGACTGAATCGTTGTCATATTCTACCATATTTTCCTTAGAAATTATGATTATAATGGCAAGCACGTGGGAAATAAAAAAATCCATAAGTCAAAAATCAAAAGTCATAAATCAAAAGTCATAAATCAAAAGTCATAAGAAAATAGTAAAATAAATCTATAAGTCGAAACTCAAAAGTGACCCTCCAAGGCTTCCATAAAATTGCGATGGAGCTTAAAATCTCGGGAAGAAATTAATTTACTAAAGGGTATACATTAGATCATTTTATTTATGCGCACCATATGGAGCATAAAATCGTTCTAGACACTATGTTCTAAATATACAGGTATTTTAATGAATTGATTTTACTAGTTCGTAAAATCACCATTATCATGGGACAAAAACAAATCTTATAAAATGACCATTATCATGGGACAAAAAAAAATAGTTTGTAAATATTCTTTCTCTATGGAAGTGTCGATGGACATGTTCATGGAAACCGACCACAAAGACCAATCTGTTCGTAATCATTTTGAAAACAGCTGGGTTTTTCTCCAACATATAGATTATCTTGCCTTACCCGCGAAATAGTTAGCAATGGCCCAGCTCATGCTTGTTAAATCATTTTTATGTCGGCTGTTACAGATTCTGTTTCTTCTTAGCGTTACTCTACTACTAAGAGACTTTAACTAAAATTTAACTAACCGTTAAAACCTGATAAAAATGTAACAATTCATTATTTCCCGATGACTTTTGATCAAAATTTGATGTTGGTCAATTCTGAACGTTTAAAATCACCCAGGTTCAGTTCTCAACATGAGAATACGGCATATGGCAATATGACCTATGGGGTCAATGTTCAACGGGGTTAAATTTAATGGTACACCGGCATCAGAATTGCAAGTAGCATGTATGAAAAACTGAAGTCTCTGCATCTATTAGCTCCAGCAGGTGAGATGGTTTTGACACCTTATGTTGCCGCGATGTTTCTGAAACCTGAGGTTTAAATCACCTTTCCTGTTTCGGTGCCAAGTGAAATAGATTTTATTGGTGGGCCAAAACCAAATTCACAAACAAACATTGTCATCAATTGTCATTTAAAATTTTAAAATGCTGCCATTCATTGAAATTATATTATATAAGAAGTTGATGACATCGAGACATTTCATATTAAAAATATGAGCTATTATGTAAATAACACATGGCTGTCGGATTGATAGAGGATATTGTCAACCCGAAAAATGGTATGCAGCCGAGGGGTAATATGCCAGTTAAAGTGTTGGCACTATCCTCTTTCACCCCGACAGCCATGTGTTATTGATTTTATCATACCGAAAGACTTCAACTTCGACATTTATTCATTACTGAACAGATGAAAACAATACGGTGGCAAATTGTCTTTTGCTACGATCATGATTAACAAACGCTTAATATTCTCTAAAATTAGAAAGAATAGTCAGTTTCAGTTTTTATTAATCCAAGGCATATACTATGCAACTGGTTATTACAAACAAACGTACAGAAACATTACAGTCAAAAATCAACTAATATCACAATAAAAGAATACAATTATGACTAGCTAAATAAACAAAAAGGAGATCATATTGTTCATTTCAACTTTTGAATGCAATACTTCATGTTTTTACATTGTAACAATTGGGAATGGAGAATGAGAAGTATTAATTATCTACATTTCATCATAAAATTTTTACATAACAAAGATAGTTTTAGTAGAATTTTTTATCACAACTATTCATTAATCTATCAAGTTTAGAAATATGGGATGAATATAAAAAACTGGGAAGAAGATATTTACGTCTTACGTCATTAAAGTACGAACATTCAAATAAATGATCAATTGCCAACTGTCTGCCTTTTTCAATTGGTAAGTGATTCATTGTTATAAATTTACAGAAATATTTGCCTATTGGAATGGAAGTACATCGAGATAATTTTCAAATCAATGAGTATTTTATATGTACTATACACTAAGCACTAAGAAGATGTATCAATAGTTCTATATATGCCCATCTGAAAAGAATTGATCATGTAGTCAAAGCTTCACAATACTTTCAAAGTGATGAATATTATTATCTGCTTTGTGTAGATGAAAATATTCTGACATACCAAGATTACTAAGCGTTTTGTTCACAAATGTTTTCCATTTACTTTGAGGTCAAAGACAACATTGTTTTATACAGAGGTTTACATATCTTATTTTCCTTAGCATTATTAATTTTACTTCAGAAACACAAAACTCTTTCTTTCACTTGCAAGACTAATGGAAATATGCCAAACTTCACTTCCATAAAGAAGGATAGGTTCAACCATAGAGTTAAATAAATGCAGCTGCAAAGAAATCGGTAGACAAAATTTACGGGACTTTTGGATCACATAAAACATTGCTCATCTAGCGTTATCAACAAGATTTTTTATTTAAAAAAGTTACCATTATAATTAAAAAGTAATCCAAGGTACCTACTTAATCAAAATTGTTACTATTATAATTAAAATCAAAATCATCCTTAAGTTTTGACTTACTAAAACACTATTTTTAGTCTTAGCTTCATTTACAACAAGATTCCATATATTAAAGTAATCACTCATAGCATTTAAGGCGTTTTGCAAATCAGTTTTCCTTTCTTCTCAGAGTACTGTTTCATCAGCATATTACAAAAGAAACAATTAAAAATCAACATAAATAACAAATTCACTAAAACATTCACGAGTCGAAGAGATTAATTTGTACAATAATTAATAATTACGGTGGTATGTTACATTCGGTGTTATCTCCCTTACACCCAAAAAACATACCCAAAAACATATTGTAGTCTAGTTAAACTTAAAATGAGTTATGCAAGAGTTATTTGCCCCAGGGTGATATAAGAACTATTCCCTGGTGAATATATCCTAAAAGGGTGATATTCAGCACACATAATAGGTCTATGGGAGTTTTACATTGAAGGATATATTGAGCTTTAATAAAATGAAATATATTCAAATATTATTTAAACAAGCAACATTGCGGGATAAAATCAATTTACAGGTGCAAAGACTTAGTAAAACTCTTTAAGTACAAACGACCAGGTACGAGCTAACAAGCCTTGCTATTTGCTATTAACAATCATTTGTATATTGATATTTATATTGTTAAAAAGGATATATATGTCACCGACATCCTGTTTTTCATGTAAGCAGTATGAAAAGGTAACTGAAAATTTATATGTTTAAATGATACACTTATTTAACACATAAACACCATCTCATTTACACAACATACAATTTAAATTGAAACAGTTTTTTGTTTATTAAATAACAATGCTACAATATAATGTACACGATACATTAAATAATGTCACAACAACATTCTTGTATATTCACAATGAGTTATAACACCATTAAATCTTTTTTAGTGATTTTGTTTACCTTTTCAAATATTATGTTTAAATATCATTTTATTTTACATAATGATGTATTCTTAGATTATTTAACTTTTATTGATTGTGTTTTTTCTACATTTACTTAACATATTAGATATCATACACTTCAATGTTGTCCTCCCACACTCTACTTATATACATATTTGACATTTGTTGATTACAGCAGACTGAAAGTATCCCCCCTTTTCCACTATCATCTTTTATAACCTCTCCTATCAGCTCACCATCACATGTAAACTGTAAAACATTATTAAATGCTGATCCAGGGGCCAGTACACTACCTACTTCAGTTAGATAGCAACAGTTAGCCCCTTTTATTTGTTCATCATTAAATGATGTAATAACCTGGCCATTGCTGTCCATTACTATCAGTCCATTAAAATGGTCAGCAACATAAATCCTTGTAGCATCCTTATTGACAGCAAGACTGCATATGTTACTGAGCATTTCATGTCCTGATTGATTCTTACTGAACTGATTAAGCTTCCTACCAGACAATGTGTACATATATACTGATGTCTGACTGTCTGAAATATATAAATTACTGTTTGCATATGCAAGACCATAACATTCAAAATCAGTGTTAAACTTGTGTGTTGTTTTCATTTCTCTTTCTAGAGAAATGAGATGAACTTCCTTTTTTGATGGCACAGTTACTGCCACATGTGTTTTACCGATTATACATACTTGATATGGATCTTCAGGAAGGTCAAAAGTGTCTGTGACAGAATACGTACAACTGTGTAACCGTTTAAGCTTCCCGTTGTTGAAATCAGCTAGAATTATTGTTCCATCTTCCATACAGCAGGCACTGCTGATATTACAACTATTTTTATCAGTACTAACTTTTACATTATATGATTGTTCTCCTTTTTTCTGTAATATATTGTCAGCATTCATTGTAGGTTTCACTGTAAGTACTCCTAGGGTTTGTTCATGTAGTAGCTGTATAAGAATTGCGCTATCAGGTTGAAACTCTACGTCTTCTACAGTACTTCTTAATTTTCCATTTTCTATATATATGTCGGCAACATTTGCAGCATCCTCCGCCATCTTAACATAAACAAAAACTTCAGATGGATTTGTGCTTGTAGACGCTAACTTATCATTAGCTGATGTAATCATGGACTTGATTGCTTGTATCTTAGTGAGACCATCTTCTATATTGTCCTCCAGACATTTGACTTTATCTTCTATCTCATCTATAGAACTTTTCTCAAGCTTGTCCAGATGGTCATTGATTTCTTGACGGAATTTTCTGATATCAGCCATTATTTGTGCTTTCCTCTTAAACAGCCTTTGTTTATCATGTTTAAATATATCAGCTTGTTCTTCAAGGGTCTTGGCTATTTCCTTGAGTTTTGTTTGAATGTCTCTGGATGCAACTTGGTAAGTAGTATTTTGGATATATTCTGGTATGTAGAATGTATCCTTGCATAATCTGAAAAATAAATTGAGAATGATTATGTATATGATGCTATGACATGATTGTGGAAATGACATGTTATTCTCTGTAGCATATCAGTATTTCAGATAGAATATTATGTAGTCTTAAACATTCCGTTAAAAAATGTGTAATATATTAAATTTTACCTGTGATCAACAGCTATACATGTAGAACAGCCAACATTATCATGGTTCTGACAGTACATATCAATGTGTTTATGACTGTGTCTGCCCCATCTCTCTGTTGGTCCCCTCGGCAGACCCTTGCTGGCTCCTGACCTAACTTGAGATATATCCAACACATTGTGACCAGCTAGTACAGGTACTTCACTATGAACTTGAACACACGTTATACAAAAATAATCTTCACAGTCTACACAGAATTTTTCACCTTCAGTGTGTTTTCCTTTATTTTTACACATTGAACATAGTACATCGAATATTTCATCTGAAAGAATATCGGTATCTATTTCTCTACCAGTAGCCATTTTGTTGGAATTTTGTTCCAATGTGTTATCTGAATTGATTTATTCACTGATAAAGCTGCCACAGTCTTTTTAAACATATTAAATGACGGCAAACCTTAATAACAGTTCTCACATATTTCTTTTTTTCTTTTGTTTCATGTATCATTATCATCTCTAATGTACTAAGGTTGAAACTTGCCAATGAAAAAAAAATAGTCCCTTTCATTGTACAGATGTATCTTAATCTGTTAATATGTTGATAAAAAACCACATCTAATTGTAACATCTAATTGAAAAACAGTTGATAAAAAACCACATCTCATTGTACAGAGTGTTAAGTGTTAACATAGGCTTGGTTTATTATTATGCTTTTCATAAAACAATTAACCTTAAGAACTTTAAGAAATCAAAGTGCTGAAAGGACTGGATGCGACGGACATGAAAATGAAATAGCATAAATGCTGTCAAAAAAGGTCAACATCATGTTGCACCAAGAAATTTCTTTTTTTACAAAGAGGAGTAAAATTCCATGCCTGAGTTTTTGGGGCTTAGATAAGGACCTCCAATTATTATCCCAAAACATAAATAAGGTTTCGTGTGAATAATTTCTGTTTTCTTTCGAAAACTGATGTTATATGTTTATGTTTTAAATGAATACCATCTGTATATACATGTCGTTCTAGACTGATTTGCACCAAGAATTTTCTAACCTCCAAAAAGGTTATTAGACTATTACTCTGGTAAATCTATGTTAGATTCCTGGGGTTCCATAGAGTAATCCCGAAGACTTATGCATTTGTGTATCTGTGCATCTGAAATTGGTGTTACATACTTAAACTGAAATGACTCTACCTAGGTAATTTGGCGTTACATGACATAATTTTTTGATTGTTGTTCCATTAGATGTAGTTATATATGCAAAATTACAGATCATGCTCCTCTGTTTTCCCAGAATATTTTTTCTAATTTTGGGAAATGACAACGCCATTCACTGTAATCAGGAGCACAAGAAAGTATGATTTCAATCTATTTCTGAAGATATTTCTTAATGATCATTTGCTTATATTTCTGTTTTATGTGCCCCAGCTTGTCTATGGAAGAAATTCATTTTTTCAGGCTTTTGGTCCTCAGTGGAGTCCCTTTAACTAAGAATTTTCCTTGCTCACAGTGAGTAATGATCAGTCAAAATCAATGTCCGAGTAATGGTCCTTGGATAGTTACCTCTATTTATGGTCACGAAAACATGCATATAGATTAATGTAAAAACCTTCAGTTCACAAACGGCCATAATTCAGTAAAACCCAACTCGAATTTTGGATAAATTTTGTTTTGAAAGTGACATCCAATTATGATCCCGAAGACATGTATTTAGATTCAAATGAATACCTTCAGTACACATGATCATGAATCTTCAATAATATTACATGAGGAAAGGTAAACAAGAATAATTTTGTTCAAAATGGTTCATAATTCTGTCAAAAACGATGTTAGAGTTATAGGCTTTGCATCTCCTATTACGGACTATCTCAAAAAGTATTTGTTTTGTTACAAGCAAATTTTAGTGGTTCATGAAATTCAATGCTTTACAAGCTGTGCGGTGCCCCAAATCTTTAAAGTGGTGTGCCAACGCGGACAGTGACAACAAGTGACAGTGACAACAAGATAAGAAAGATAGCACCACTAGTCTTCGATTAGTTGAGCTAAAAGTTTATTAGGCTCCAGTCTTTTTGTATACAAGTGACATAAAACCTTGCAAAATTCTTAATATTATTTGTTCATTTTTTATCACACATAAATTATTTTATTAGAAAGACATATTTACCTCAAGAATCAGAGGCATTTAAAATGAAATGCATATTCATTTTTTTATCACACATAAATTATTTTATTTGAAAGACATATTTTCCTCAAGAATCAGGGGCATTTAAAATGCATGTGGTGGAATAGTGCACACATATTTATCACTCGAATAGACTTATTCTGTTATTACAGGGTCGGGCCATAAAATTTCGTCGGAGGGCTTATGTTTTAAACAAATGTGGAGTTTGGGTTCCCCCAGAAAAAGATTGAAATTTACATGTTAATTGGTGGCTTTTGGTGCATTTTAGATGCACATTTTGAAACTGAAGTGTTTATATAATTTTCACAGAAATTACATGATATTTTTGCAAAAGTGAAAGAAAAAAGCTTAATCTATTTAAAAACTATGATTTAAAAAAAAAATTCAAGAGGGTAAGATGCCCCTAAATGGTTCTGATATAGGCAGAAAAAAAACTGATAATGTATAACATAAACCCTTTAAAAGCGATACGTAAGAAACGCGATCAGAAAATACAAAAATAGTGATTCTACGCGAAGGAATGTTATTTTGAAAATAATTTCAGTCACAACTAAATGATATTTTAGGCCATGCTTTCCTTTTGTTTTTTTCTGGCAAATTTGCTCTATATTGAGAAGTATTACTCCGATTTAATGTGTTGTTTACCGTTCTACTTGTTTGCTTCGTGAAAACTGTGTTTATTTGTACTTCGGATGGGACGAAGAAGGACAAGGATGTGTAATTAATACGATGTTTTCGTGTACATATCATATTCATGTGTTTATTTTATCAGTCAGATAACTAACTGTTTTTGCAATCAAACTGGAACATAAACGTTTTCAACATATTCCGACGTTATGAGTGTGCTTTATATAATTAAATCTTGTACTATTTGTTAGGATCTTATTCGGTTAATGCCACTTTTCGAATGTAGATCTAGACGTCGAAATCCCATTTGTAGATGACATAGCTCTGAACGCGCCTCAGGGCGCGTCAATCGCAAAAAAGACCTTAAATAAAATTATAAAACGAGAAATGAAAAGCATTAATGATTTATTATTAATGATCATGAATGATCTCTTCATGTCTAAAATATGCCAAACTAATGGTACACTGTTTCGTGAATAACTTTTGCTATTAATTCACTTGAGTAGAAAATATTCAAAGTTAAGCATGCTTTTGACATTTCTATCACACAAAATCGGCAATGTAATGTTTCACCTCAAGATAATACAATGTTCTGTGAGACAAAGTTATAAAACAAGAGAGGCGTGGCAATATACGTTTTAGTGCAAATTTGTTTTACGTAAAAAAAATTTTTTAAGTAATTAAAAAAATAAACTAAAGAGCGGACCCATTTATTTCATTTGTCCGGAAGATGTTTTATTTCAATTATCAATATTATAGTAAGTAATATATGTCTCCGAATTCATATATGCCAAAGAACTATGTCCCTGTCATATGAAGAGTGAGAATGGTTTCGTGGTACTCCCTAAATACGCGAGTAAAACAATTATTTCCTTATCAAAGTCGTCAAACTGTAAGTATCCTTAACAGTGATAAGACCAAATAAATTCTTTACACTAAATATAGTATTGATATAAAACAAGACACAAGTAGGAATATTGCTTAATATTGGTAGCATATATTGACAATTCATTTCAAAATCAAGATGTTTGTGCTAATATATCGTCTGACGTATGTAATACGTCCGTCGCTATCATGGAATAAAACCTTCGTCGAATTGTAAAATCAGCTCTGCATACGCTAAGAATAAAGAACATCGAAGAATCAGAAAATGACGAAAGCCACATCTATCTCTTAAATAGCATCGGATGAAGAAAAACTGAAACGAAAAACTTATTAAAACATTACCAAATCCAATGAATCTATAACAAAATTTGTCAGTTATGAGCTGTTCTAATTAAGATAAATTGGGTGGGTGGGAGCAAATACCAGAAAGATAGGTTACGCTACCAAATGTAAAGCTTTTAATGGCCTAAAACACGCCGAGTTGTGATTTATACTCAGCACGAGAACACGGGCATTTTCCTGCCAATATTCATGCGCTATATGAATATGCAAAACATAAGCAGACGACATTTTGCCAACTTTAAAACGGAAATAATTATATATAAAAAAGCTTGTGGTTTCGGTACAAAATAATATCTATTGTATAATTGGCACGTCAATTAATACGTGATTAATCACACATTTTCATTCAATTAAAGACAAGTTATTGAAAATGTTAACCTTTCTATTATCTATAATTAATCTCTTGAGTAAAATAACTATAATTACATAAAAGCATAAGATGGTTTAAAAAATCTCAGTAAACAAACAACATCATAAAAAATATATGCGTATAATATACGAAAGTAAAACTTGAAAAAAAGAATAATGATTTAAAAAGTACACAAATATATACACATTAAGTGAAGCCTGTAAAATATGAAAACATTTTTTATCATCTATGTTTAACTATATTCGCAAATGGTAAAAGTTGATAAAAGAAGAAACAATGCTTTTACTCGGTATAAAATGAACATAACATGTATATACACAGAAAAATAAAATCTGTAAGAGAAAGAATTAACAACGTATTGTATAACCTAAATTAAAGTATATACATAAAAACAAGACATACAAACATAACATATAAAAATATTAATCCACAATGAGAAAAATCGGTACAATGATTCTGTACGTAATAAACAACACATCTTTTTAAATTACTTTATTCATCTCTATATAAACAATTGACACATGCATAGTTTAAAGACAACACACCATGCATGTTGTCTATGTAATAAACAACAGTCTGTTTTATTCAATATTAATGACTCAATATAAAACTTAAAAATCGTCCTCATAAATCCGTTGGATCCTATTCCTGAAAAGTGGCTGCATAGTCTCAGTATTTGGGATCAAAGTAGTCACCTCATCATCTTCGTACTTGTCCCAGGCGACGAAAAAGGCTCCATGGATGCACGATGAAGTCTTGTCAACTGAGACAAATTTAAAGATCCACAACATTTGCCTCCCTCTTCAGTAAAGGTAGTAACATGTATAATCCCAAGTCCGCACGTCTTGCTTCTCCGTCATCCTGTAATGAATAATGTTGGAAGAAATGTATAGTTTTAAAGTTCATTTAGTAAACTTAATTACAACGTCAATAATTTCAAAAAAATAATTTTCCTGGTTAATTTGATTTCCCGTATATGATGTATAATATGTGAAAGAAAACATCAATATTTTTTTTTAATTAAAAATATATCAACACTTCACAAATAGACATTTACTTATATATTAATCTATTGTATCAAAATTGTTTTAGGATCTTACCTTCAACGTCATTGTTGATCAGAACCGTTTCAGGAAATGCACTCAAGTGAATTGGCTACAACAA